GCCGGGACAAGCGACGCCCACGGAGACCCCCAGCGTGGGCTGTGCCCCCCGAGGGTGGGGGGGCTGTGTCCCCGTGCCCGCAAGCAGCGCCTGCAGATCCCCGCTGTGCCCCTTGCACAGGAGCCGGCCTCGGGGCTGCTCGCACTCAGCTCTTACGGCCACGGCATCCTCCACCGCTGCCCCCACCCCAGCCCCAACACCACTTTCGCTTCCCCCAGCTCAAAACCACGGCCTCGCTATTTCAAGGGAAACAAATGTCACCCCCAGGTCACCCCCAGCACCAAGAGGCACCAGCTCCAATTCCTGGTAAAAAGATTTATTAAGAACCTGCAGTACCTGCCCAAAAGGAGGATGCCTCCCTGGCATGGGTGCTGTGTGGCAGCGGCGAGCGGGATGAGAGGGTTAGTGCTTCTCCAAGCAAAACACACCTGGGTCGGACCCAGCAGCAGGATGAAACGGAGCAAGTCGAGGGCACAGAGAGGTGGTGGGGCACGTCTGCGTGGCAGAGGACCTCCCGCCGGGGCAGCCCAGCAGTAGTTAAGGCGTATAAAGTGCTTGGAGGAAGACCAGCCCTACAGAGAGGCTAAATAATGTGAGCAGGCAGGGACGGTGAGGAAGCGAGGGATGCGGGGGGCTGGTGGGTCACCTGCACCCTGCGGGGACCTGGCGTAGGTGGGTGGTGTCAGACATACGCCCTGCCTAGAGCAGCAGGCAGGAAGGATACTACCTGCCCACACCTCGGCCCCCAGCCACGACCGGGAGATGGACTTCAGGGCCCCCAAATAGAACCCAGCCTGCTGGTCTTCATGGTCATCTCCCAGTCCACCCCATGACCGGGGTGCTGCTCCACGTGGTGGGGGTGCCTCTGCCAGTGCATGGGAAGGATGGTCCCCAGTGCAGCGTCCTGCCTCGGCTCGGTCCCAGTGGCAAAATGAGATGAGTGGGACTTGTCCTCGGCCAGGCTGTGCCCCAGCTCCCCGTCACAGCCGTGTGTCCCCCCAGAGCGAGCGCAGCCCATGTCCAGCCACCTCTCCTGCTGCTGGGAGCAGCACCACGCGCTTGGTCCTTCGCGAGTGGAAACGTCAGTCGGGGGGTTGGGCGGTTTCAGTCCTCTTGTGCTTGTGATGGTTGTCACAGCAGGGACACAGGGAGGTGCCCTCACCGGTGCCTCATGCCACCAAGCTGGTCCCATGCGCAGGACAGGGATGCGCCAAAGGCAGACCCAGAGCTGCCATGGGGGGACAGGTCTCCTGTGGCCACTTTGGGGACACTTCTGCAAAACAGCCCTGTGCTCCGGCTGGAGGTGGTGGGGGCAAGCAGGGACACCCTCCGCAACTAATCCTGCATCCCTTCAGCCTGCCCCAGCACTCCCAAACGCTCCCTCGCCCCATGGAGTGCTCCAAGAAATATTGCTTTTCCCTGGAATGTTTTTGTCTAAAATACCCTGGATGGGATTAAGAGAAAAAAAGAGAAACTGGGTAAAAAATAACTACCCCCAGGTCACGCTGAAAGGCTGGGGTTAGCTCCACGGCCACCCTGTCCAGGGCAGGGGACACCCTGGTGATGGGGCTGGGGACAGCGGGACAGCTGGAGGGGCCTTTCTGTGTTTAGCAGGGGAGGGGGCACCAAGCGGGGGTATGGGGGCTGCCTCCTCCTGGCAGCAGGAGGAATGCAGCTCGCAGGGACAGGTTGGGATGTGATGGGGTGCAACTGGATGGGATGGGACAAAGGACCAAGGTGGTGGGGAGAGGAGGGACGGCCCCCCCCACTCCTCACTGGGACTGCAGAGAGAAGGCCAGCTTGACGCAGGCGAGCTCCTCCCCGCTGCTGCTGACGGCCACCCGGACGCGGTAGTTGCCGTTGGTCATCCAGGCAGGCAGCTCCACATCAGGCAGGATGAAGTCGCTGGCTGGCAGGGAGTAGGAGCCCTGCAGAGAGAGGGGACATGTAGGCAAGATGCCAGCCAAACCCCCCCAGCCCCACGCCAAAGGGCACAGTGGTACCTGGCAGCACTGCCAGCATCATGCCGGCTGGGGGGTTCAGGCGTACCGCTTTGAAGGGGCAGTGGCAGGGGATGCCGTAGGTAAGCAGGGGCTCCGGGCAGGTCGTGCCAGGCGGGATGAGGTTGTCGAGGATGGTGCAGACATCATCATAGGTGCAGCTGCCCAGCTCGTCGATGCAGGGCAGCTGGATCCAGAGGTCACCCAGCGCCTTCTCCACCACCAGCACCGCCTGCAGGGAAGGTGTCCAGCACCAGTACAGCCAGCACAGGTGCCCACAGCTCCTCCAGCCTGTCCCACCCCCTCCCTCCCCAGCCATCTCCCTCAGCTCCTGCTCATGCAATTCTTTGGGTTGTCCATGGGGCCACCACATGCCCTCCTGCCTCCCCCTCCTGCTTTTGGTTCCTCTCTGCCTGCAGGTTTCTCTTCCTCCAACCTCAGCTTGACCCCTTGAGCAAACACCTCCCAGCACCCCACGCACCTGCTCCTTCCCCTCTCCTCGGTGCCCTGTTCCAAAACTGCTCAGCAGCTCCTGTCCCACAGCTCTGCCTCCATGCTCTCCCGGCACGCTCCCCACAGCCCCAGCCCCAAACAGGCACCGTGGAGTTGCTCAAGACAGCCCATACACCTTGGGCAGAGAGACATGTTCGGTCTCATCCCAAAAAGTCCCTCAAAAGTGGTGCAGCATGGCCGGGCGAGCTCGAGGCTCCTGCAGCGGTGCCATGGCATGTCCCTGGAGGGAGCAGCTGGGTCTGGCAGCTGAAAAACGAGTGCTGCACCAACCGTCAGGAACACCCAGGGCACCTGGAGTTTCATTGCCCTCCCTGAGTCATTACATCCCCAGGACACGACACAGTTCATGTGGTTTCTCCCACTGGGACAAGGTTGGGAGCTTCCCACTGGGCTGTCTGCTCCCACCACGGGTCTCCCCATGCCCATCGCCCCATTCCGGCTTACAGAGCCTGGTGCGCTCAGCCCTGCATCGCTCCGTGCCTCGTTCCATCAAGGGCTGCTCATTCCCATACCCGCTGCTGGGCATTTCCCAGCTGCCGGTGGTTTCGGGAAGCTCTGCCCTCCCTCATCCTGTGGAGGCATCTCTGGCACGTACCTTCAGAGGGGAGGCCATGGTCTTGCTGCTGCTGACGGCCGCGCTGACGCGCAGGCTCCCTGGGATGCTGATGGGGTCAGGCGCCACGGAGAGGCTCTGCAGCACCACGGGGTCCATCCTGTCACCACAGTTCTCCCAGGCAAAGCCACCAACCTGCGGCACCAAGGGACAGGAGGAGTTAGAGCCAGGGCGAGCCTTGCCCTGGGTTTGCAGGAGGTTTCCCCAGTGCTGGACCCCCGACCCCCCCCAAACATCTGCTCACAAACACAACCAGAAAATGACCTTCAGCCCCTCTTCAAATGCCAAATAAATATTTCCCTCTGCATTTCTTGTACTCCCAGCTCTCCGAGCCTGAGGGCACTGCAGAAACTCTCCGTCCGGCCCCCCTGCATGTACGTTACACCTGTCCTGGTTTTGGCTGGGATAGAGTTAATTTTCTTCCTAGTAGCTGGTACAGTGCTGTGTTTTGGATTTAGGATGAGAATAATGTTGATAACACACTGATGTTTTAGTTGTTGCTGAGCAGTCCTTACACTAGCCAAGGACTTTTCAGCTTCTCATGCTCTACTGACTGAGCAGGCTGGGGGTGCACAAGAAGCTGGGAGGGGGCACAGCCAGGACAGCTGACCCCAACTGGCCAAAGGGACATTCCATACCATGGGACATCATGCCCAGTATAGAAACTGGGGGAAAGCTGGCCGGGGGGGCCACTGCTCGGGGACTGGCTGGGCATCGGTCAGTGGGTGGTGAGCAATTGCACGCTTGCTTTGTATATTATTATTATTATTATTACTATTAGTAGTAGTAGTATTTTATTTTATTTCAATTATTAAACTGTTTTCACCTCAACCCACGAGTTTTCTCACTTTCACTCTTCCGATTCTCTCCCCCATCCCATCGGGGGGGGGACAGCGAGCGAGCAACTGTGTGGTGCTCAGTTGCCGACTGAGGTTAAACCACGACAACACCCAAAGAGGGTTCCCAGGCTGCAATTTCCAAACTTGCCTCAGCTCAGCCTTCGAACACTTTGCATGTGAACAAGGCGAGAAGCATCCTTCACACCAGTGCCAACGGCACTGAGCAAGGTGTGTGAAAGCAAAGGCGAGAGAGCAAGCGGGGACCAGGCCAGGGCGGCAGTGGCTGCGCTGGCCGGGGGGATGCTGTACCCTGGGGGGGCTGTGAGGCCGGCACAGCCTCCTGGCTCAGGCAGGACCAGACCGGCTGTTGCAAGCCCTCATCCACCGGCTCCGGCCACCTGGTCCCGCACAGGAGCGGGAATTGCACTCACGCGTTGCATTTTAAACATGGCTTAACATTTCCATCTCTGCTCATGCTCGGGCGGCAGATGAGCCGGGCTCATCCCCTGCCTGATACACCCCAGGGACCTGATCCTGAGCTGGTTCAGTCCAAATGAGCCAGGGAAGCAGTGCTGTCCCGTGGGATAATGAAAATCCACACACAGAGGATGTCACCCGGACAGGGGGACATCGCTCATGTGTCCTGGCTGGGCTGGGAGCCATGCTGGGAGATCTCCCCTGTTTCCTCCAAGTCCCACCAGCCTCCCCGGCCACCACCAGCAGAGCCACGGGCTAGCAACGGCACCGGAGCCCTCTGGTCCCACAATCCAAGTTCAAAGGCAGGGGGATGGCGGCACTCGACTGCAACAGCCACCCCTGAAACCTGTTGCAAGCCGGTGGCGAGAGGCCAGCCCCAGCTCCCTCCCCAAGCAGGCTCCAGCCTAATTGCAGGTCTTTTCCTGGCAGGGAGGCAGAAGGACACCTGGGCTGCACACCCCGAGCAGGTTTGGCCGGGGCAGCCCGTGTCCCCGTGCCCGGGGCGCAGGGCTCTCCCTGCCTGCTCAGCAGCCGCAGAACCGGTGGAGGCTGTATTACCTGGTGCCAGCCGGCAGCCCCAGCGGGCAGCGCTGCCCACGCAGGCGAGCAGCCCGTCCCGCCGTCCCGCTCGCCAGCCGGGAGCTGCCCAGGGTGCAGGGTAGGACACGGGGCTCAGGGCAAGCCGGGGCAAGGGGCAGGCTGCGCCCTGACTTTTAGCAAGAGCTGAGAGCCCCTCTCCCGTGGGTCTGCTGGCGAAGAGGCCCCATGGGAGCTAAACATCAGTGTGTGGCTGCATATTGCTGGGCCGCAGACCCTCTACTGCCCCGCAGAGCCCCCTCCAGCCTTCCTAACCGGCTCCCCCTTCCCTGGGGCAACATCAGCTTTCCTGGAAAAAAATAGAGATATTCCCCTCCGGACCACGTGAAAGTCACGCATCTTAATCAGCCGTATCTTAATCAGCGCGTGTTGATGAGCCCGGCCCAGGGCTGCGTGGGAACGAGGAGGCAGCAGCCTGAGCTGGTGAGCTGGAAAATGCCAGCGAACGGGAGGAACGAAAGCCGAGGTGCTGGGAGGCTGCAGGGAAAGCTCAGCCGAAGGAAGGGAGGCCGCTGGGCTTTTCGGCCCGAAAGGGTTTGTCAAAACCGAAATCCCCTCCTGCTCGGAGGCTGAACCCAAACCCGCAGCCGTGCTCCCCCAACGCCGTCAGGTCTAGGGGATCCCACTCCCCCCCAGCCCAGCCGCAGACACGGGCCCAGAATCAGACCTCGCACTCGTCCTTCTGGGACAGAAAATGCTTTTGATCTCTTGCGAAACCCAGCCGGATGGCGAAAGCTTTCCTACCCACCTGCAGCCCTCGGGCTGCTCCCTCCGCCGAGCCCCCAGCCAGCCCCCTCGGCCCCTTCCTTGCCCAAATTGGCGCGGGGTGAAGGGTTTGGAGTCTCTCACCTTGCTCAGCCTCCGGGAGCCGCTCCGCTCCACCAGCAGCTGCGGGTGCGACCCGCCGAGCGCGGCCGGGCAGAGCTGCAGGGCGCAGAGCGCCAGCGCCAGCCCCGCTCCCAGCATCCCTCCGGCAGCGAGGCAGGATCTGTGCGGAAAGCTGGGGCGGCCGGCGGGGAAACGTGCCAGGGAGAGCAAAGCAAGAGCCGAGGCAGCGAGGCGGCCGCTGGCTTCCTGAGCGGGGCTTCCCGCAGCGCGGCGCCCGCCGGGACGGGGCTGGCAGCGGCGAGACTGGGACTGCGCCCTGCTAGCTCCGCGCCCGGCCCATCTCCCGATTCCCCTCCCTCCCCGTGTGTACGCGCAGAGATTTTCCCCTCCTCTTTTTTTTTTTTTGTTTTTTTTTCTTTTTTTTTTTCCCTTTTT